AGCTGCGGGAGCTGAGCTGATCCAAAGCCAGGAGCCAGGATCTTCCTCGGGGTCTCCCCTGTGGGTGCAGAATTCCAAGGCTTTGGAATTTATGTGTTGCCTACATGAGATACATCTCACCAACAAAGATCAGCAGAAACTCCATCTCATGGATTGTGATGTCTTTTTTTTTACTTTCATCTTTGCAAAAACCCTTACTCGTTAAATTCTTCACTGACTCATAGATCATACAGCAGCATCATTTTATTCAAGAAGGTTCTTGATTTTCATTTCTTCAGTGACACATTATTCAGTAGCATGTCATTTAACTTTATGGCGTTATAAATTTCTTTTTTTTTTTTTCCTTCCTGTTGTTGATTTTATTTTGTGGCTTCTCATGTAAGGGAATGTACAGCATTGGGTCCGACCTGGCTTGGGTACCCTCTGCATCCACCACGCTGCTGAGGGCTCCTTCATCCAAGCCCCATGGTCAAACACCCACCCCCTTGGTTCCTCCTGCCACCAGGTGATGGCAACAGGGCAGGGCCAGAGACCTAATCCCATTCCTGACTTTCCAAAAGACGAAAAAATTTCAAAATAAATAAATATCTTTACAGTCCTAGATATCACTGCTGCTAAACTCTTACAGTCTTCACAGAGAGTTGCGTATATAAATAGCTTGTTAAAGTGTTCTTAGCTTGAGGAAGCTGAGCAAATTGCTCTGGTTCATGGAGGTCAGTGACTGTGGCCTCCAGGCTGTTCCTTGAGGCCTGCGGAAAGTTTGGCTCTGGCCTTCTCTCCTTCAGGAAATTCTAAGCTCAGTGTATTAAAGCTGCTTGATGACTTAGAGATTTTAATACTATGAATGCTGAGTTATCTTTCTTGGGGATGCTGCAATTTCTAAGAATACCAACCTGCCAAATTTATAAAGTGAAAATGTTGGATTTCTAAGACAAATGACAGGCGACAGTGAGAATAACTGCCAAGAAGATCTTTCTAACAGTTCCAAATGCAGCTAAACAGGCGGCTGTGTTTGAGAGTAACGTGCCAGAGGATCATCCGGGTGCTTCTGCAGAGCCAGAGCGTCTCCACAGGAAACAGCCGGCCTGGTGCACTTAACACAGAACACGAGCCTCGGAACTGGTGATCTAGTGTGCATGCCCCTTTCAACGTCTTGGGTTCTCTTTTCTTTCTGTTTTAATTCAAGCAAAATGAGGTGGCTCCAACTGTTCCTGCCTCTTCACTGGCTGTTAGATGTCTTGAACTTTCTTCAAGCTGAAGACTCTGATTTGGAATAAGCTACTATCTATTTAGGTGCGTTTCCACTTGTGATCAGCGTCTCGGGATGATTCACCTGTAGCCAACAGGACCACTTTCATGACTACTCAGTAGGGTTTATAAGTGCAAATGAGTCACAGAGTTGGTCTGGACCTATCTTCTCTATGACACAGTGGCCCCATTACAACACTCTACATATGGACCTAGAAATACAACCTGGTTCTCAGTCCCTTTATAACAGTATTTCCCCCAAGTCTCCTTGGCCTTCGACATGTAAGCCTCAGTCAAGGATTGTTTCAGGTTCCCATTGGTAGTTCCATCTTGCCTAGTCGCCAAATGAGAGCAGAAAAGTAGCTTTATGCATAAACGGCTTTGAGAAAACAGAAAAATCAAGCATATTCTTCTCGGACTTCTCTGATTCTCAGGAAGTCCCAGGGATCTGAAATTTCTTAATTTTTTTTTTTTGCCTTTAAAAAAAAGTTTTATGATACAATACCATAGGCTCTGGGATTTTCTTACCTTCTCTCCAAACCCCCTCATCCCCCAACTGATTTCCCCTACATTATCGCAATGGTATAGTCCTTCATAAGTGGTCCTAAGTCCATCATTGTGCTATTCAAGTGTATCCTGACACTGGCAGAGTCCAATCTCCTATTGATCTGGAGACTGGGCTTTCTTGACCTAGGCGTCAGGCCTGCAGATGGAGCCACATTCTTTGATAAATCATGACATTTCCTTCCAGGGAGGCTGTGGCCATAGGAACATGGCCAGAGCCCTGTAGATCACATGTCACTTCATAAGACACGCACTTTGAATCATAGCTCTAAAGGTGTCAGAGATTGTAGTTTAAAGCTAGGAGCAAATGCTAGATCCGGCTTTCCTGGAGCTGTCCAGGGTTCTGACCCTACAGGGAGCGTGAACATCTCCTAATCTTACTGCGTACAGCTGGAAAGCTGATTATACGTTGAGAGCGGGGACCATGAGACACAGAAGCACAAGACTTACATTGGTAATTTCTGCATACATTATATGACTCTGGATAAACCTACATTTTCATCATAGCTGGGTAACAAAATACAAAAAATACTTACAATGTGAATGATAAAAATACAACACAAAATGCTTTAAAGTGTATCTGAAAAGTTTTGTTGGAAAATCAAGTGCAATAAACATACAAAAGGCAATTGTCAAAATAAGAAAAATTACCTGCCTAGTATTTTTGAATTTCAAAGGGATTAAAGACCTCAAAGTGGGACCTAAAACTTAATTTTTTAAAAAAAATTAGGCAATTATTTCTTCGTTATGACACCAAACCTGTAAGTAATAAAAGAGAAACTGAATACATTAAACATCATGAAAAATGTAAACCCTTTCACACCACAAAGGACACCAAAAAACAGAGATTAATTTGAAAATCATATCTCTCATAAAAATTTCCTATCCAGAATCTATATATAATTCTTATAATTGAATCACAAAACTACAACTAAATTTTAAAATGGGCAAAGTGTCTGCAGATTTTTGCAAAAAAAACCCCACATGCAAATGGTAGTAACTACAGGGATATTTGTTCAACATCGTTAGTTGTGGGGTAAATGCAAGTCGCAATGACAATATGATCCCATTACACATCCACTACAATGGGTTTAATAGGAAAGATACTAAGTGTAGGAAAAGATGAGGAGAATTTCCTGTGCACGTGGCAGGGCAGCAGCGACGTGGACTACCTCTTCTGCTTCCTCAGGCGTTTTAGCCGGGAGCTGGATCAGCAGTGGAGCAGCCAGGACTCGGATTGGCACCCCTATGTGATGCAGACAATGTATGTGGTGGCGTAACTCTCTGTGCCACAATGCCAGACCCTTTTTTTTTTTTTAAGATTATTTATTTGAAAGGCAAAGTGAAAGAGAGATAGCGAGAGAAGAGAGAATCTTCCCATCAAGACCGAGTAAGGTTGAAGTTAGGATCCAGAAGCTGTTTCTGTGGCTCCCTCTAGATGGCCGACCCCAGGTACTTGGCCCATCATTTGCTGCCTCCAGGGTACAGTAACAGGAAGGTAGATTGAAAGTGGTGATGGGGCCCGGCGCGGTGGCGCAGTGGTTAAGGTCCTCGCCTTGCACGCCCGGGATCCCATATGGGCGCTGGTTCTATCCCTGCAGCCCCGCTTCCCTTCCAGTTCCCTGCCTGTGGCCCGGGAAAGCAGTCGAGGACGGCCCAAAGCTTTGGGACCCTGCACCCGCGTGGGAGACCTGGAAGAGGCTCCTGGCTTTGGATCAGCTCAGCTCCAGCCGTTGCGCTCACATGGGGAGTGAATCATCGGACAGAAGATCTTCCTCTCTGTCTCTCCTCTCTGTATATCCGCCTTTCCAATAAAAAAATAATAAAAATAAATCTTAAAAAAAAAGAAAGTGGTGATGGGACTCAGTCTTTTTTATACTTTTATACTCTTATGAGATGCTTGTATGTCAAGCAGTGGCTTAGCCACTGTGGTGTGCCACAATGTCCACTCCTACCAGCAGGATGTTTTAATGGTATAGTTGACTCAGAAAACAGTCTAGTAGTTCCTCAAATGTTCTAAAGGAGTCCTCATATTGTCTAGCAGTATGAAGCATGTTGCCTAGGTTTACAGCCAACAGGAATGAAAGCCTGCCTACAAAAAAGTATACCTACATGGGAGACTGGGAAGGAGCTCCCAGCTCCTGGCTTCAGACCGACCCAACTCTTCGCATTGCATCCGTTTGGGGGAGTGAACCAGCACATGGATCTCTGTGTCTCCTCTATCTGTAAACCTAACTTTCAAATAAAATTAAAATAACCTTTACAAAAAAAAAAAAGATGACTCTACATTTGAGAATCAGAGGCAAGTGTCTGCCCTCCTTAAGAACCGCTTCAACCTGTTCTAGATGTTAGCAAAGGTCCATAAAAGCAGAGGGGAAAGAGCGCCAAGGTTCCCGTAGGCTCTGCACAGAAGGTTGATAATTCGCAGGGTTTTCGCTGTTTCCCCAGGAGCCCGCTGGCAGCTCTCTTCTGGCCTGTGACAGGACACCTTGGGCCTTGGAGGCACGGCAATCTTTGCATCCCTCTTCTGAGAAAGCCTGTCTAAGGATGCAGGATTTGACTCCCCGGGGGATGCAGGTTCTCCATCTGTTACCAACACCCATCTCCACCTCCTCTCCGTCTGGCCAACGTCCACTGCTCGCCTGACACGGGCCACCAGCATAAACAGTGGCCCCCCAACTTTCCAGCATCCCATCTTGGGCCTCGGGTCTCAGGGTCCCCCAGGCTAGATTCAGGACCTGGAACGGCCTGCCCGTCAAGTCACGTCGCAGCTGGGAGTGTGGGGAGGAGGGCTGCTCTACCTGAAGCTCTTGAGCTCAGAAAGGCGAGATCCGAGGGGGCATCTGACCCATCCCCAATCGGGGCCTGCAGGTCGGCCGACCCAGCAGGCCATTTTCACCTGCGTAATAACGGGCTGGGGCGCGACGGCGAAGCAGCAGCGGCGACCCGAGCGGGAGGAGGAGCGCAGGCGGCGGCGACAGCCCCGGAGGAAGAGGAGGGGGAGGAGGAGGAGCCGAGGCGGGAAGCGCGGCAGGCGGGCGGCGGCTCGAGTTGCGGCGGCAGCGGCGCTCAGACCCGCAGCCTCACAGAGCCCTGAGTTCCGGCGGTGGCGGCGGCAGCCCCGCGCGCGCGCAGCCCCGCACCGCACCGCACCGCCCCGCGGCCCCGCCGAGCCGCCGAGCAGCGCTATGGCCGCGCCGCCGGACCCTCAGGATCAGCTGCTGCAGCCGGCCAGTCCCGGGTTCCAGTGGTCTGGCGACTGGGGCGAGGGAGAGGACGAGGCGGTGACGCCGACGGAGGACATGCCAAAGCAGCAGGCAGGAGAGGCCGGCCGGGGCTTGGGCGCCGGGGTCGGGCCGCGGGATCCGGGATCGGGCCCCGCCCGGCCGCCGCCCGTTGCTATGGAAACTGCATCCACAGGTAAGGCGGGCGCGGTAGCCCCCAGGCCCCTAAGGGGTCCCAGGCTCCCCGGCGCCTTCCCAGCGCTGCGCCCGGAGCACCAGCACCAGCCCCACCTTACCTCAGGCCACGGTCAGCCGGAGCCGGCTGGGAGCAACAGCGAGATTTTTTTTTTTTTTAACCGAAGGCTCCGGGGCGGACCGGATGCCTCTGCTGCTTTTCTTTCCTCAGCTTGCTTATGTTTTCTACTTTACCAATAGTCCTCCTTGGCCAGCCGCAGCGTCCTGGCCGCTGGTGGTGCGCCGGGATGCAAGTTTCTCGCTCCTGTTAGGGTTGGGGGCTGCATGGCCGCCTGAGAGCTTCTCCCGGGAGGGTTGGGGACGACGCGCGCGCTGGTGGCGGTGCGCGCGGGGTGGAGACTGGCTTCAAGTCTCTCCGGCGCTTTCCTCCGCGAATCGCCCCCACCCTGGTCCCTCTGGAACCCCCAGCTTCCACCTGTCCCCTCGCAGCAGGCATGTCCAAAGGGAGTGCGTGCCCTACATCGCGGGGACAGCCCGGTGAGCCTTCCCCCTCACCCCTCGCCTCCCGGGAACTTCCCTTCCAAGCTGTTCCAACGCCCCCGCCTGGCAGGGATGCCAGGGGCCTCGCTGTGGGTCGTGGGTCCACGGGCTTGCGTGCCGGTGGGGGTTCAGGCGCGGTTTGCCCGCGGTCCGTACGCACCCGGGCCTTTGGAAACGGCTCTAGGCTCGATCTCCCTGCGCCCAGCTTCCCCTTCCGAGCCTGAGCACGCAGGTGTCCAGGGGGAGCCTGGGTCCTGGCGCACCTTGGCCCGAGCCAGCTCGCCTGGCGGTTCCCGGGGCGGGCCAGTGGATGTTGTGGGATGCTGCGCCCCGGAGCAGATCCACGGTGGGCAAGTGAGAGTTTGTATAGTCCGGGTCCTGTGTGTTGGAAGGCCCGGGTGCAGGGAGTTTCTGGGCAGGGGAAGGAACTGGAGTGGCGACGGGTTTAGGAGAACCTTTGGTCTAGGCCAACACCGCGGGTCCGGGTCCGGTACTTGGTCTGAGCTTGGAGAAAGGCAGGTTTGGAGAGCGCGTTGAATACAACGGTCTAGGAAGGGACGTGAAAAAGTGAAAACCGTGTAGAAAAAAAAAAAATAAACCCAAATAATTATAAGAGAAAGACCCTGAGGTGGAGCAGCAGAGAGAGAAGGGAAAAGAGTAGTTGTAAAACCTGTGGGTCCTGTGTGAGTTATGTGTCCCTGGAGTGGGGAATATTTCAGGTAGAAAAGGCTGCCAGGCCTCGCAACTTGTGGTTGAACACAAAGTAAACTCCACAGAGCCCGCGAGCTGGTTTGCCCGTTCCTTGTTGAGGGTGGCTCACGGTGATCAAAGCCAGTTCTTGGCAGACGTTGGCCACCTGCTATGATCCGCCGAACTGGGCAGAGCAAGCTAAGTGCCCGGGGATTGGTGATAATACTGTCCACTAAAATCAGTTGCTATATAAAAATGCTTAGAGCACATCCATGTATGGGGTCACATTGGTTTCTTTTTTTGTGTGTGGTGAAAACATTAAAAATGTACTCGTAGAAAATCTGAAACATGCAATGGGTTGTTCGTGGTGCCTGTGTTAAACTGCTCAGGGTTCATCATTTCAGATGTAACCATGTTGTGATTTGTTGAGTGAATTACAAATTTTCGGTTTTAAGCTACAAACGCAGTAATACAATCAAAGAGTATGTTTTGGCGGGAGGAAAGTGAATGGGGGTGAAAGCAAAATGGATTTTGCATAGTTACATGAATTTTTAAGTTTGTTGTTGCCACGTGAATGGATTGCTCATATTCTTATTTAACTGGCTGGCTTAAATCCGTGTTTCTTATGAGTTGTTCTAACCAATCTGGATGCCATAAATGATATCTAGGTGAACATCTAGATTTTGAAAACTCTAAACAAGATTGCGCTCAGCTTCTTTGTCCGATAATGTGGCAATTTTATTGTCGTAAGCAAACCAGCCGGTGACTCTTCAGTTGTATCAGAGACAGAATCTAGAGGAGGCCTGCCAGGTGACCTGCTCAGCTGCGTGTTTTAGAATGTTGCTTTGTTGGGCTTACACACAGCTGTATTATTATTTTTAAAGATTTATTTATTTTTATTGGAAAGTCAGATATACAGAGAGGAGGAGAGGCAGAGAGGAACATCTTCCATCTGATGATGACTGGGATGTGGAAGGCCGGGCCAAGCTTCCAGCAGGTTCAGTTTCTTGGAAGGTTCTGTCTGCTGGCTCACGGAAAGCCCTGTTTCTGTGTCCTTTTCCTGAAAGAATTTTGCTCTTTAAACTCAGAAGTAACTTAGATGTTGACTGTGATGTACCGTAAACAGATTGCTTCTTTTTCAGAAGGAATGTTAACACGTAAGACGGTACTGTTTTTGTTTTAAACCCGCTTTTCTGAAAAGCACCACCAATCATGCCATCTGGACAAAAATTCTGTTGTTCATTTTTATACGTTCATGATAATTAAAGTGCCCCAAAATTATTTCCTAAAATATTTCTCGGGAATACCCTGGAATGAATACACATTTAAACAGCATTGAAATGGCGAGAGAAGACTCTGCTGTCTTCTTGCTTTCCGTCTGATTTGTGATGGGCAGGTATTCTCAACATGAGACAGCCCTGTGCCCTCTGAAGCTGCAGTTTCTCATGCCTCAAATCCGGGCATGTGCAGAGATGTCTATTGCCAAGGGAACATTGAACACCATGCGGAGCCTGCAACATGTTAGAATTGTCACTCATGAAAACTGCCATCCTCCGTTACGTTAGACAAAGGATGTTAAGACCAACTGTGTGTGGTTTTCTTTCTTTCTTTTTTTTTTTTTTTTTCTTGATCAGTTATTTTATTCCTGGAAACTTTTCAAAAGGAGCATCCAATAACAGAAGGGTAGAAGAATGGCCGTTTGTTTTTTTTTAAAGAAAGACTTTAAAACAGATCACTTGAATAAAAAGAAATGGTAAAAGTTAACTCACAGACTTCTTGTGTGAAAAGCAGAATGATCAGAGAGCGGGCAGGAGAAATCAGTTCCATTGATGTACTTTGCCAATGTCGACATAGATAATTTGACTCAAATTTCTATGTAACTGCAAAAAAAGGATTTCCCCCCTCCCCAGTTTACTTTTTTGGACTACAGTTCTCATAAATTTCTATTTTTTAGATATTGAATGTGATGCCGCTGTTCCCAGAGAAGTTAGTCTATTGTGAAATAACTTTAAATGAAAAAGAATCTATTAGTTTATTGGAGAGCTTGCACAGAAAAAGAGTATTTCCATCATCAGGTTCAGTCTGCAAACGCCCGCTGAGGGCAGGACGAAGCTGGGGCCCAAGCAGGGAGTAACTGGGTCCAGTGTGGGTGCTGGGGGCCCAACAACACTGCCTCCTGCTGTCCGTATTCAGGATCTGCAGCGTTGTTGGGCTCCCAGCTAACTACTCTGACGTGGGTGTTTGGACTGCTAGGCTGAGCTCTTAAGAAAGTTTGTATGTATCTTGCATTTTTTTTCCTGTTACATGTAATATGTTTAGAGAACTACGACCTAGGATCAGCCATCTTCTGAAGTCCATTTGGGGACTGGATTGAGTCTTCAATGTTAGATGGATGCGGGGGCTTTTTTTTTTTGGAGTCATTTTCAGTTAGCCCTTAGTGGGAAGGTGAACTTCTTTCTCTTCCTCCTCCTCCTCTTCTCTTTCTTCTCTTTTTTCAAGAAGTTTATTTATTTGAAAGGCAGAGTTACAGAAGGGGGAGAAAGAGACCTTCTATCTGTTAGTTACTTCCCAAATGGCCAAAACAGTTAGGGCTGGAGCAGGTGCAAGCCAGAAGCTTCCAGGTCACATACGGGTGCCAGGTCTTCTGCCATTTTCCCAGACGCTTTAACAGTGGCTTAGCCTGTTGTACCACATCCCTAACCCAGGGAATCTGAAACTTCAGTCTCCTGTTTTCTTTCATCTTTTGAGAAGCTGCAGTTCTATTGAAGTGGGAAGGAAGCCCATGGTTTGTTTTACAATCCTTTAAAGAATATGAAGGAGGAATAAAGTAGTTTGGAAACCTAATGCAATTTATCTGAATGCCATCGGTTACATTTCTGGCAGTAAGTGCAGCTTAATGTCTTTCAGTAGAGGGAATTCAAATTAGGTTACGTTAAAATTTAGAAACTCTTAAATTCCTTAAAAATGCATGGCTTTCTGTGTGACTGTCCCTTCCTGAACTTGTTCCAAGAAGCCCACCTGTTTGCTTCCCCTCGATGTGTTGTAGGCTTTTTCTATCCCATGGCTTTACTGATCTGTGCGCCTCTTTCTGGTCCTGATGTGGCGAAGCACTGTTGATTATCATGCTGATTGTACTCTGTATCCTGGACAGTGTGGGTTACAGAAGGTTCTGAAACTATCACAGGTCACAGATCAATGCAACCCAGTAAGCCTTCCTTGAATGCCTCCTTTGTGGAAGGATCTTGGCTAAGCAAGGTCTCAGTTGCCTAGAACATGGGACCTTCCGGTTCCATATTGTCATTTGGGTGTTATTTTTCATTCTCCTTACTCTCAAACCATTGCTGGAAGCTTGACTGGGAGGATAGTAGAATGTAACTCTAGAGGACACAAGGGTATGAATTAGGCTTTGGAGGTCAACATAGGGTAAATGTGAACACAACTTGCTCAAAGTATATAGCTATGGAAAATAAAATCCATTGTGGTCTGTATTGTGTGGGGTGTGTGTGTGTGTGTCTTCATAGAAATAACTCTGGCTGGGTGTTTCTTCAAATCTTGGGATGAGTTCGTGGTGATTTTATTTTGAAATTAGAGTAGAATATTTTAGTGGTGCCTGAAGATGCTTTGGCCTTTGGCCCTGAGGTTAGGACACTGCTTGGGACCCTGTATCCTGTTACTGAGTTGGAGTTTTGGCTCTGTTCTAACTGCCAGCTTCTTGGTAATGGGCACCTGGGGAGGTACGGGGTGATGACTGCGGTACTTGGACCCTTGCTATGCATGTGGGAGACCCTGATTGAGTTTACAGCTCCTAGTTTCAGCCTGGCCTGGCTGTGGTTCTTATGCGCATCTGGAGAGTGAGGGGAGGTTTCTGTTTTGCTTCCCACTCCCAAAGAAATCATTGTAAATGTGGAAGTGGCACTGGAAAAGTTAGAGGGCAGAGAACAGAAAAGACATGTTTCAAGAAATGAATATATCCACAGAGGAATCCTCTCTACAGAAGTCAACTTCTTTTCAAAAAATACAACACTAGATTTTTAAAAGATGATTTGTTGATTTTAAAAGGATTTTGTTTATTAGAGAGAGAGAGAGAGAGAGAGAGAGAGAGAGAGAGAGCCAGTTACACACTGCATCTCCAAATGGCTGAGACTACCAGGGTTGGGCTAGACCGAATCAGGAGTCTGGAACTCTTCCTAGCCCTTCTTTGTGGGTGGAAGGCAGCCAAGTACTTGGGCCGTTGGGTGCTGCTTGCCACGTGCGTTAGCAGGAAGCTGGCCTGGAAGTGTGGAGTAGCCTGCATTAGCGCCCGGGCCTTCAGTATGGGCCCTGGACATCCTAGCTGGTGATTCTGTGTCCGTAAGCAGCTGGTTTCATTTGTTTCAGCATTGGAGTGCAAAAAGGACATTAGTTGGAGAGGACGCACTGTCGGTGCAGATGCAGTAGTGTCAGTTCATGAGAAGAGAGGAAGCAACATTTCACGATTCATAGTTGATCTGCGTGGTTTTAAATGCAGTGGGATTCTAAAGTTTGGAAACCTAAAAGGTACAGGAAGAAAGACTGGAAGCCCAAGATGAGAAAATAGAAAATAAAATCTTGCATTACTGCCTTGGTGGGATTCGTTCTTCAGAGACAATTATGTTTCCTGGTGTTGAATGAGTGTACTTGGCAGCTTCAAAGTCATTCCAGGTAACTTTTGGGGAAAAAAAAAAAAAGACTAATGGTAAAAGGTTGTAATAGGAAATGATGCTCACAACATAGAAAAGGGTAGAACCTTAAAAGCATGAGCCAGTATATTTGATGTCGATTGCTGATGGAGTCTATGAGTTAGATTATTGTATTGTTATCTGAATGTTTATAAATCCTTAGAAAAGAATGAGTCTGATGCTTGCCTGATATTCCCATTGGACCAATAAAAAGTAATGCACGGTAGGCCATGCCGGGGAAGCATGGATGCCAGCTGCACGTGGTCGGTGGATGGGTCAACTCACCTTGCAAGAGTTTTGATGTCTGACACACATATTAATTACTCCTCACTAAACTTCTGTGTTTCCTTTTTGTCATGCATGTGTTGGCTATTCAGTGGTGTTACTTTTTTTCAGGGTGATATACTTTGTTGTCGATGTTGTTGGTGTTGTTGTTGATGTGGTTGTTATGAATTGATGTCAATCTGAAACAGTAATATTATTTCAACCCCAAACAACCTGTATCTCATGCAATAAGATATTGTGAAGTAATCAAGGAATCAATAATCAATATGAGTAGACTGCTTCTGATCTACATCAAAGAATTGCAAAATTGTAAGGCTCTAAACAAGATGGAAGAATCCACCATGGGGGGGGGGAGCGGGTTTTGGGGAGGGGAGGGGGGAATCCCAGTGCCTGTAAAACTGTGTCTCATGATGCAATGTAATAAAATAATAATAATAATAATAATAATAATAAAGATTTTATTTTTATTATTTTTCCATTGGAAAGTCAGATATACAGAGAGGAGAGACAGAGAGGAAGATCTTCCGTCCGATGATTCACTCCCCAAGTGAGCGCAACGGCCAATGCTATGCCGATCCGAAGCCAGGAGCCTCTTCCGGGTCTCCCACGTGGGTGCAGGGTCCCAAAGCTTTGGGCTGTCCTCAACTGCTTTCCCAGGCCACAGGCAGGGAGCTGGAAGGGAAGCGGGGCTTCCGGGATAGAACCATATGGGATCCCGGGTGTGCAAGGCGAGGACTTAACCACTTGCACCACCACGCCGGGCCCTTCACTAAGGTTTTTTAAAGATTTCTGTGCACACCCCTCCTAAAACTGTTCTGCGCCTCAATTGTTGACATATGCCTTGTTAGAGTTATAACCCAGTTTTGACTATCCTAAAATCTGCCAAGTTCAGCAAAATTATGCTTCAACACTATAAACTGCTAAATGCTAAAATGAAAATAGACACTAGACACTAACGAATAGTACCCAATAGCCATTTTAAGGTGTATAGCAGCCGGTTCTGTGTGTAAACTAAAATTGAAATGTCAATGAAGTAGTCACAGGAGGTGGTTAAGAACTTGCATTTTTTATAAACATATTGGTTACTCAATACCATGTCAATTAATTCCATAATGTTGTCAATTGTCGCTGATGTTATGTTGTGGCTTTAAATTGATCGGGATGATATTCTGCCAGCTTTGCCTTCAGACCAGAGATGGTCTCCCCCGAGATACTGTTGAATTTACCTGGACAATAAGAGGATGGACTCTATGCTTGGTATATGCTTGCAATGAAAGAATCTTGACTGAATTTGAAATGTAATACAGCAACAAAGTGGAGGAATCCATCATGGGGGGAGAGTAGGGGAGGGGTTGGGGGATCCCCAGAGCCTATGAAACTGTGTCACATAATGCAAGGTAGTTAATAAAAAATATATATACTAAAAAAAAAAAAAGTAATGCCCGGATAGTATGACTTGAAACATTCTCGCCTCTCTTTTCTCAAGGACTGTGACCTTTTCAGTCAGAATCACCAACATATGCAGAGCACGGAACTAAGCCTAAGAAATAGACCAGGCGCTCAATAGACAAAGCTTGCTCTTTAATTTTGCAAAACAGGTACAAAATGGGTTAATGTATCAAGGATAATTGCTAGGAAAATAAATTTATTTTAGTGGTTAGCCCCCAAATAGCACGATAAACTCTTTCTGTTAAAATCATCAGTTTTTTTGGCTCTAATTTTAAAAAAATCCTTTTTAAAGTAAGGAACACCTGTGCACGGGTATTGAAATGAAGAAATAGACAAGGGTGTGCAGAGAGCAGGAAGTCATCGTCACGCGTTCTCTCTCCACTGACTCTCGGCTCTCTTCAGAGACAACCATTGTTATCAGTTTGGGAAATACAACAGTATTTAACCAATTCATGATTATGCTATGCTTCATTGAACTAATGTGTGTGTGTGTGTGTGTTTTCCTGTGAGATAAGGGAAGAGGAGGAAAAAGCAGAGAGCAGAAAACGTCAGTGGAGGGATGGTCCATACAGTGGAGAAGGTTGGCAGGAAGCAGCGGACATGAGAGGGCTAGTCAATGAGGATCTCTCTGTTAGAGCAGAGATGTGCAGCAAGCGACAGAACAAGTCATTAGAATCCTTGAGTGAAGGTCGTCTTTGGGGACAGGAAGCAGCCTGTGTAAGTGTGCCCAGCGCTTCCAGGAAGCAGCAGAAGGGGCAGCGCAGGGTAGTGAGCTCTGGGCGAGGACAGGTAATGGGCAGATTCCGTAGGTCCTTAGAAAAGCTTTGCGGAGCACTGAGTGTGAAGGGAGCCACTAAACAAGGGCTTGCTAGACGAGAAGGAACGTGTGGAGAGTTAAATTTTAAGTTAGGGTGATGGATCGCTCTGATCACCGTGTGGAGACTCCAACATGGTGGTGGGCGTAGTGTGGAACTAGAACGCTAACTGACCATTGCCGTGATCTGAATAGATCTGAGTGCACCAAGGCAACAGCCTCTGAGGAGGTAAAACAAGCAGGTTCTAGATCCATTCTGAACCTAAATCTAACAGTAAAGCCCAAAGGATTTGGTATGGAGTGTAAGAGAAGGGTCTCATAAAACCTGTAGGTTTTAGCCTGAGCAAATACAGGGAAGGCATTGCTGTTAGCCGGGACTGGGACGAACAGGTTTGGAGCAAAACCAGGAGTTTTGTTGGGTACGTGTGCATTTTGCAGCCAGCACCCACGAGACACCCAGGAGAAGATGTCATGTAGGCAGCATTGAGTAGGGCTGGTCCTGGGTTTGTGCGTTTTGGGACTGTTGGGACAGATGTAGCATTGCTAAGGGGAGTGGGTACTGACAGTAAGAAGATGCACATATTCAGAGGTGCAGCCAGGGACACTGGGTGAGAGTGGTTAACAGAGTAGGGGAATTGAAACGTGGGATGCTAGAAGGCATGAGAAGATGAGATGACTGACTTCAGGGCTGCCTGTTGGTTCAGCAAGATGGGGACTGATACTCAGCCGCTGGACTTGACAGTGAAGAAATCGGTAGGAATTCGAGGGGACTGCCTTTTTGGTGAAGTGTTTAGAGAAAAGCCTTGCTTGGATTTTTTTTTTCTTATTTACTTGTTTGGTTGGACTTATTTGTTTGAAAGGCTTAGAACAGAGAGAAGTGTGGAAAGAAAGAGAGAGGGCAACAAAAGTGTATTCTCTGGTTTATTTCCCAAGTATCCATGGTGGCCAGGCTAGGCCAGGCTGGGCCAGGAACCAGGACTTGTATCTGGGTTTTCCCGGTGAGTGGTAAGGGCCCAAGCACTTGGGCCTCCTTTCTCTGCTTTCCCAGGCATATTAACAGGGAGCTGGATCAGAAATGGAGAAGCTGGGACTCGAACTAGTGCTTCATATGGGTGGCTGGCATTGCGTGAGGCGGCTTGACTTATGATGGCTCAATGCTGCCCCTTGGGTTTTGGAGAACGCAGAGGGGGAGGAAATCATGGAGTACATCTGCAGACATGACTCACTCGAGAAGTTTTAGGATAAGGGAGATTAATAGAGAAGCAACTAAATGAAGGCTGGATTAAAAGGAAGGTTTTTTTTCCTTACTTTGAAGGATGTGCAGGGTTTTTAAGAGGACGTGCATGATTTAGGAGATGGGAGAGGAGGGATTCCTGCAGGCCTACTGTGAGAAGGCAAGGGGAAGTGGTGCCAGTGCACAGTGGAGGGGGGTGGAGTAGACAGGTAGACATGCTGCTGCTTCTCTTGAGGAAATAGGAATCCGGGTGAGCAGCACTGTGAAGGCAGTGGCGCAGGTGGCAGAGGTTTGAGAAGAAGGTCCAATAGCATTGCCATCCAAGAGAAGAGAACGGAAAGGATGAACAGCCTTCTGGGCCTCACCTGGACTTGGTCAAGGCCACGCGCTTAAAATGTATTCACACATTGTCGTGTTTTCTTTTGTTCGACCGAGTGGTTGCTTGGGACAGGTGCATGGGTGGATCAGGTGTTGCTTTTACTTCTCAGTGAGTGTTTCAAGAAGACAAAAGCATTAGATGTGCTTTTCTGCCACCCCAGGGAGTGCAGACATGAGGGCTATGGAATCTGGTGGGGAGGAAGGGAACCTGGAGAAGAGATGAAGCAGCTAGTGGACTGTGTGTGCCGGCAGGACTGCCTGAGTAGGAGTGAAGAGGCGGTGAGCCAAGGTGAGCCAAGGGTGCAGTGTTTACACAGAGACTGGGTGTGTAGTTACAGAAGGAAGTGGGGACTGGGGTGGAGTGGAGCACAAACACATTGGAGGAAGAGAGTCCAGAAGCATCCCTGGGGCAGCAGCGAAGTGGCCACTTACGTGTTTACTGACATTACAAAGAAGCGTTAGAGCATGGCGTCTAAGGAGATGGTAATCCATGCCTTTAGGAAGGGACCTAACACTGGAACGTCAAGTCCTTTTCCCTCCTTTAGGGGCAGGGGAAGTCCGTGGCTTATAAATTGGGAATGTACAATCCTAACTGTATAGGTTCTGCAAATGCTAGTTAATATGTGTGAAATGTAGCAAAATGTGTCATGTTGGGGACTGAGTGCATTGAGGGTTGTAATGAAGTCAATATGAGAGAATGATATGATGAAATTACTGAAATATCTTCTGTAATTTCAAGGCAGCATTGGTAAAGAGTCTCAGATGCACATTATGCAAGATTCCTTCAAAATCTGTGTGGATAATGAAGTTAAAAGGTACGTTTCTTTTGGTGCAAAAGATTTTGAAATACACTTGTAGGTTTTTCCATCTGTATTTTTTTTTTTTCACGAGCTCTTTGCAGTGCCCTAAACCAAGGCTCGTTTCCCTAGATTCTGTTCTGGACAGGTCACATTTGGCATCACATTTTCAAAGGGTGTGTATGATGCTTCAAGAGACTCAGTTATGGTGGCACTTGGACCATCTTTGGCGACTTGCCCAGGCCATTAGCAGGGAGCTGGATCAAAAGTGGAGTAACTGGGACATGAACCATTGCCCACATGGGATGGTGATATGGTAGGCAGTGGCTTAACTTGTTATGCCACAGTGTCTGCACACCACCTCCCCCCACCATTAGCATTCTGCCCAACTCCCAGTCCAAGGAAGAATTCTTGACCCAGTTGATTTCACAGGGCACAACTGAAACCAGCAAGGGTGTTTATCACAAAAACCAGTTAACCTCCAAATAATGATTTAAAATGCATTCCCCACAAAAGTATGATCTTCTCTCAATGCTTTTCTCCATTGTCAAGAAAATTTAACAAACTTGCTTCTTAAGAACCCTACACTTTTGCCCAATTCAAGGCTATTAATGTAAATATGTTACACGGCTATCTGCAAGAATCCTGAACAATCTTCATTTGTTACTACTGGATCCAGTCCCATAAATATTCAACCTATTCTAAAATGTTTGAAGAACGCATTAAGTAATTCTGTAATGCTAAAAGCATCAGATGATTCTTTATTTTTCTTCCTCACCATCTGAATATTTGTGGAAGATTATTCATTGTGAAGCCATGTTTGCTGCGTTGCCTAATGAATTACGTTTTCAGCTAGAACAGTTCTGCATTCTCATTTCCATGTCCAATCCCCAAATGCATTTTCCAATTCAACTACTGTGTGAGATTGGTTTTAATCCAGTTAACAGATAAAATTCTTGCTTCCTGAATGTGCAGAATTTATGCATAGCTCATAAGCCTTCAAAACATATATAATTTTGTTTCATTTAAATGAATCTCATTCATTTTTAAAAAGCAATTCTTAAATGAAAGAAGATGTGTGTATATGAATTATGGTTTAAGTAATTGACAGCTTAGGAATAAAAATGCATACCAGGTCTACCATTGGCATGCATTTTTCAAGTGGTCCTGGGTGTCTTAGACTGTTTTCTGTAGATTCTGTTCCAAGATCACATGGGGGTGATCCACCAGCCTCTGCCTAGGGAAACAAGCCTTCCAAATGCATGTTGGTGCTATGAGTTGCATCCTTGTGCTGGATGTTTTCCTAGGAGCCTTAAGGAATAGAGGAGGATGCTGAGCTGTAGTCTCATTTGCTCTAAGCTTTTTACTGTCTGGTTGGGAGATGTGGGGGACACAGGTCAGGCAACTCAGGTCCGAGTGCAGCAGGGTGCTTGGATGGTGGCACAAACTCTGTATGCAGCAGCAGGAATGCTTCGATTGTATTGCTCCAAAATTCCTGATCACCTGGAACAGGTGAAGACAATGAACCTGGAAAGAAGAGTTGGAGTAGGAACATGCAGCCAGGAGCAGAGAGGCATTGGATGCAGGGAGAGTTGGGAATGATGGTGGGGCTTCACCTGCCCAGCCAGGCAGGAAGGAGACAGATTGAGGGGGCTGAAGACCCCGGGGTCTCTGCAGGCTTAGCTAAGGAGGTGCCTGTGTTACGAATTGTCAGCTGGGGCAGAGGGATGTCATCTTGTGGGGATGACTCTGGAATCTGCAATATTTTGCTGAAGAGACTGAGCCAGTGGCATCAGTTTCAAGGTCTTGAGTTAGCAACTGAAAGAGTAAGGTGGGGTATCTGTGGGAAGAAAGGTACAAAGCTTCCTAGTGAACTCTCTAGAACTCTGGGACTGACGGATGGGAGATGAAGGATAAGGGGCTGGATGCGTGCCAACCACAGTTGGGAGGATGTTGGCATATAGAGGGTGGGTCAGGGAACTGGGTAGGGAGTGATGGTAATGAATTCATCTTAAGTTATGTGGGTTTGAAACAGCAACAAGCCACTTGAGTGGGAGTCTCTACTAGGCAACTCTGAAGGAGTGGATTTTGGAAAGGAAAAGAGGGTTGTTGACATAAAGTTAAAAAATTAGAAGTGGTAGATATACGTGAGTTTTGGAAAGATTGTAAAGAACAGAGAGCCAAGGACAGAACCTGGGCACCTGCTGTCTTTGCTGGCAGAGTGGCTTCAAGCAAACCACTTCTCTGAAGCTCAGATTCCAGAATATGTGGGTCTGGCACACAGGTCTGTACAGGGTAACTACCATAATTATTGCAGATTTATGGAAATCAGAATGGCATGGTCTTGAATATGCCCTGGATTAGAAATAGGACACACTGACTCTTGACTTTGGCACCTACTGTCTTGCCAAGATGGGCAAATCTTTTGACTGCTTCTGTGGACCAGTTTCTTAATCGATAGCGTGGGTACAGCACTGTGTAAGATCTGGCCATTTTATAAAGCTTCTGTGAAAATAAAGTGAGGGAACGTGAGAGGTAATGCAAGTGGCGAATGACTATATTCCTGTATCTGGAAAGGGCTGGTCAACAGTGTCAGATGCTGAAGCAGGAGAACAGAGATCAAGGACGGAGCAATGCTGCCTACTGAGCCCTAGATTGGGAGAGGGTCTCTATTCATTTGAAAAGATGGCATGCATTTATTTATTTGGCAAAGGGGAGTGATGGGAGAATAGATAAAGGGGAGAGGAACGAGGGAGAGGGGCATGTGTGCATCTGAAGTGCTAGGCCAAGTGCCCAGCCCTTGAATGCTTCCATGTAAAATGTTTGCTGGGCTTAGCTGGACCTCAGCTGAACAGCAGGGAGGAAGGGAGTGGAACAAGGTAGTGCAAGAGCGGTAGAAGCCAGTTTCTGGCAATGCATGCTGGAAGACATTGTTACCAGGAGCAGTGTGATGGGAGTGGGCCCTGCTGCTCCCCTGCAGCTGCCCAGTGAGCGAGCGCTCTGCGAGTGGAGCTAGGCTGAGGTGTGCTTGTAGGGCAGCTGCAGAGAGGGAGCACAGCAGATGGGAGCTGTTCTGATTCTGCAGTGCAGTGCAAGGCAGGAAGCACAGGTATGTGGGAGTGAAACTGGAACAGGTTGCTTCTCTTGCAAGAAGGGTGTCGCAGTGAAAGCCAGCTCCAGCTGCCTACTGGCCAGGGCTAAATCTGCCAGTCACAGGTAAGCAGCTCGTTGCCTGCTGCCTCCCAGGGTACACATTAGCATGAAGTCATATTAAAGCAGGGAGCCAGGACTAAAAAAGCTAGGTGCTCAGGTATGGGATGTGGGCATCTCAAGCAGTGTCTGGTGGCTGTGCCACCTGCCTGTCTCCATCTCACCTTTTAATTCCGTTTTCAGAAGCCTTTTGAATTCTCCTGGCATATTCACGTTCATGCTAGATTATCTGTGCAAAAAACACTTAGAGAAATTTAAGTAATTTGCCTAAGATCACACAGCTTAGAAGAAGGGGTACCAGAATTTGAGTCTTAGATTCTAGATGTGGATTCCGTGCTTCTAAGTTTCTGTGCAGAGAAATGAAGATACAGAATTGAGCCCAGCTCTTTACAAGCCGCATGTTTGACAAAGCATTAATTTCTCCAATCTGGAGTTAGTGGGGACAGTGACTACAGAATGGGTTGACAGAACGGGGATTCTTGATCCTCATGGTAAAGCCACGGTTGGCTCCATTTGGTAAGTGGAAATTTGAAAGGACTACCTGCAAAATCTTGCAGTAAGATCTCCAAATGAACTGCAAAATAGGGGGTAAAACTTAGGGGTTTTAGCTCACTGTAAACTCACTTTAATTCAGAGGGGAACCAGCTACTCCCAAGATGATGAAGTATTGATCTGCCTAAGAAAAGATGGCCAGCAAAGCATTAAGAGAGCTGAACTTGGCCCTGGGAGGGTTGGGCCATGTGCCAAAGGCTGCTCAAAAGTCCTGGTAGGACTGAGTGCCAGGGTAGAAATGAGAGTAGATACTCTGTTATAAAGAACTAAGGATTTACAGCTGGTACAGGAGAAGATTAGATGTGTTAGGCCACCTGCCTAAAAATATGAGAGGATCCCCCCAAAGCGCATAGAAAATGGATTGTAATGATAATGCTATTATGGCACAAAACGTTTTGGAATTAATGCTTAGTCTTTTCATCACTCGCATTTTCGGTGTACTGTCTGAAGACCCCTAGTTAGGGAGGTTGTTAAGTGGGACAAGAACTGGTGATGTTTGTATAACTGGCCCATGGAGCCATGCTTAACCTGGACTTAGGGAGAATGGCTTAGGGTTCCGTGTCCATCACAGGGTAAAAGCCCAGGTGTGCTCCTGCGGTAGTGAGAGAAGCATGTCAACAGAGGCAGGCTGGTCATTCTGTAACAGAGGGGTTATAATACAATAAGCCAAGCAGGTTCTTTTCTAAAAAATCCCTTCATGATTATAGACCTGGAAAATCTGATGACAGCTTTTGGGAACTCTGTGCAGGAAAATACACTCACAGAACTATTTTGCACAGAAATTCTGGGATGTGAGAAGCCTTTTATAGATGGAGGAATGAGACAACTCCAACTCTTAAAGAGAAATAAGTGATTCTACATCCTCTCATGAGTTCACCATTTACATAGAGGCAGTCATTTTGTGGCTCCATAAAATCTCATTGGCTGATGCAATTATTCTTTCAACAAACATTAAGTTCTTTCTACTCGCACTCTTCTGTACAAAAGGTATGAAAATGATTCAAGAAATGCAAATATAAAAGAAAAATCAAATATAAAAATGATGTAGCAAAATAGCAATATAAGAAAGAACCATCTGAACTGGGAGAAAAGTCTGTATTCCATAATTGTTGTTTCATTAATTTCAAGAATACCTATAGGGAAAGGGCATTTAACCCAGCTGTTAAATGCTTCTGTCTCACCTTGGGGCAACTGGGTCAGTTCCAAAAGATCCAAACCCTACTTCTCAAGACTGAGGGGCCTTCGATTCCATGAACTTGGAAAGCTTTTGAAAATGTGCTCCAACCCAAGCATGACATTAAGACCACATTATGTATTCAAAGAAAAAGTGAAATAAAGTATGAGATTCCAAGACTTACATACCTGATCTTTTATTAGAGAGAATACAAATTATCCCTTAGTGATATAAGCCCTATCTATAGATAAAAAGAAATAAGTTAACACAGTCCCAACAAATGCACCGACACAAATCAGTGTGTGTGAACGGACAGGTGGAAGCCCAGATTCTTGGTTGACTATATCAATACTTAGGAAAGATGTAGTTTGAATAAATACTGTTGGAAGCAGAGTTAGGTAAATGATTTGCCACCTCTACTCAGATTAGCCAAATGGTGGTTCAATCCTCCACTACATATTCAACAGGCCATTAAGTCACAACGCTTAGCACAATGAGGCTTAACACGATGCCTACCAATCCGCCCAGTCTCAGGTATCAAACCATTGTTTACTTTTGTCACTTGTGTATATTTCCTAATGTCGCCAAGGTACAGCGACATTTTTATATGTGAGGATGGTAAATGAGAAACCACTTAACTCTCTCATTCTGCTATCCAAACAGCACATTTGCAAATCGCAGGGCTAGTGGTGCAGAAGGGGAAAGTATATAAATAATCCTTTATATCCGAGGGAAAACCCCGAGCTGTGTTCTCTGTTTAGAGCAAGTTGATGTGAGGCCTTTGGAAAAGCCCCAGCTTTAGGAAAGAACATTCCAGCCCCCAGGCCTGGCTCTGGCTGCTGTTTGATTTCATTCGGCTTGTTGCTAAGAAAGTCCTTGGGCATCCCTGCCCAGGCTCCCACCAACCACAGCCACAACAACCACAACAACAACAACATCAACAACGAATTATAGCACCTTGAAAAAATAACACGCCACCTAGTAACCAAAACATGAGTGACAAAAAGGAAACACAAAAGTCTCTTGGGAAAAATGGTGTCATCGTATAATTCATGAGCACGTGATGAATTCAATTTGAGAAAAGAGACTATTTGGAAGGAACCAAACTGAAATAAAAACATCAAAACACATGGGATACAGCCAAAAAAGCAAACAATCACAAAAACAGTATGGATTAGATTATTGGAGTTACACTTGTCATGTTGGCTTCCTTATATGAGAGAGAATATATGTCTACTGCCATACCACCCTGAATGCACCCGATCTCATCTGATCTCGGAAGTTAAGCAGGGTCGGGCCTGGTAGTACGTGGATGGGAGAGAGAATATATGGTATTTGTTCTTTTGTGATTGACTCATTTCACTGAACATAATGGTTTCTAGTTGGGACCACCTGCTTGTAAATAGAATAATTTCATTCTTCTTAATAGCTGAATAATATTCCATGGGGTAGATGTACCACAGTTTCTTTAACTACTCTTCCTTAGACGCACATCTGGATTGTTTCCATGTCTTTGCTATTGTAGATTGTGCTGCTGTAAATATCGGATTACAGATCCCCTTCTCACAAGCAGATTTCTTTTGGTTATATTCCTAGGAGAGGAATAGCTGGGTCTTATGGCAGGTTAATTTGTAATTTTCTAAGCACTCTCCATACTGATTTCCATAGTGGTTGTACTAGCCTACACTCCCACCAGCAGTGAAGGAGGGTGCCTTTCTCCCCACATCCATGCCAGCAGGTGTTGTTAGTTGAGTTCTGAATGTAGGTCAGTCTCACTGGAGTTAGGTGGTACCTCAAGGTGGTTTTCATTTGTATCTCTCTTATGGCTAGGGAGCCTGAGCGTCTTTTTATATGTCTGTTAGCCATTTGAACCTGTTCTTTTGAGAAATGTCTGTTCATTTCTTTTGCCCATTCTCTTACAGGGTTTGTTTTTTTTTTTTTTTCCCCTGTACCTGGGTTTCTGAAGCTCTTTGTACATCCTGGATATTAGTTCCCTATCACTTGTGTAGTATGCAAAAATATTCTTCCATTCTGTTGGTTGCTTCTTCACTTTGTTAATTATTTCCTTTGCTGTACAGAAGCTTTTTAGTTTGATGTAGTCCCATTTGTCCATTTTGGCTTTGATTGCCTGTGCTTTTGGCGTCTTTTCTAAGAAATCTTTCCCTGTTCCTATATCTTGGAGAGTGCTTCCTATGTTTTCCTTTAATAGTTTGATGGTTTCTGGGTGTAGATTTAGGTCCTTGGTCCATTTGGAGCTAATTTTCGTATAATTTGACAAGTGTGGATCTTGCTTCTTAATTCTGCAAGCTGCTATCCAGTTGTCCCAAGAGCATTTGTTGAACAGACCAGACTTTTTGCCTGGATTGTTTTCAGTTTTCTTGTCAAAGATTAGTTGACTATACATGTGTGGATTTCCTTCTGGTGTTTCTATTCTGTTCCACTGATCTTCTTCTCTGTTTCTGTACCAGTACCAGACTGTTTTGATAACCACTGCTCTGTAGTATGTCTTGAGGTCTGGAATTGTGATTCCCTGGCTTGATTTCTATTTTTCAGAATAGCTTTAGCTATTCATGGTCTTTTGTGATTCCAGATGAACTTTTGTATCATCTTTTCTATTTCTGAGAAGAATGTTGCTGGGATTTTGATTGGGACTGCATTGAATCTGTATATTGCTTTTGGTAATATGGTCATTTTGATAATGTTGATCCTGCCAATCCAAGAACATGGTAAGGTTCTCCATTTTTCAATGTCTTCTTCTATTTCCTTTTAAAATGATTTATAGTTTTCATCATAGAGGTCTTTCACATATTTAGTTAGCTTAATTCCTAGGTATTTAAGATTCCTTTCCTCTATTTTAAAGGGGACTGCACTTAAAATTTCTTTCTCAGCCATGGAATTATTTGCATACACTAGTGCCATTGATTTATGTTCATTAATTTTGTATCCTGCTACTCTGCCAAAGTCTCGTATGAGTTCCAGTAGTCTCTTGACTGAGT